AGAGGCCCTCGATCAACTCGCGCGACCCTCCGCCCAACAGCGGTGCCGCATCCTCGCTGGCAGCGCCCTCGGTCGCCGCCTGCTCAGGCTGCAGCAGAGGCCGGCCGAGGGAGGCCCTGTCGAGAATGTTGTAGCGGATCAGCACGCCGTAGCCGAAGTTGTCGGTGTCCTTGTGGCGATAATTGGGCACCGCGAACCTGACCCGCGCACCCGCGTCCATATGGAAGCCGGTGACGGTGCCGTCCCGCGAGTGGCCTGCGGCGACCTGGTCGATGTAATCCTCCATCTCAGTGGGGCTGCCGCCGTGAAAGTCGGAGGCGCGGGTGACAGCGACCACCCCCTCGACGGTGGGGTCCAGGCACGCCAGGTGCAGCGCGAAGTTCCTGAGCTTGTTTCCCACGCCGGTCTCGCTCGAGGCGATCGCGAGCAGCTGCACGAGCTTGCCAGCCGGCCTGTGGTGGAGGTGGGTACCTTCGTACTGCATCTGGAGGACGTCGGTCTCCTCGTCGATCCGCTGCATCCACAGCGCCGCCACCAGGCGGCCGTCCTCCTTCGTGGCCACGAGGACCGTCTCGGGGGACGTGCTCAGCCTCGCGCGCATCGCGAGCTCCGTTGCGCGGAGGTTGGCGGCCCAGCACTGCTCCTCGAGGGCCATCAACTCTGGCAAGTCGGCCTGTTCCGCCAGCCGGATCTGGAACGGCTGCAGCCTGAGGCACTGGCTCAACGTGCCGCAATACCCCGCGCCCACGGGCTGAGTGGACACCTGTCGCAGCATCTCGACCGAGTCGGGGATGAGCCCTGCCATGGCCGCCGCCAGAGCCAGCGCTGGCGCCGGCACCAGCGCCCCGCGCCCGAGGCCGTGCGCCAGGTCCCCGCAGAGCGGCGCGCCTTGCATGAACGACTGCCGCAACGCCTGCACGCCAAGCGCCGTGGGGTCCTGGCAGCAGATCCCCGCGGTCGCGCCCAGCTTCGCGCCGAACTGGTCCCCCAGGCGCTCCACCAGGGAGGCGAACACTGCGCACGGCGAGACCTGCCTGCCCTCGGGGCCCAGGTTTGGCAGACTCCCCAGCGCGCCCCGCGCAAAGGCGCCCGCGGTGCTGGCCTCGTCCAGCGGTCTCCTCGGCGGCGTGGCCAGCACGTCGCCGCACAGCAGGGGGGCCAGGAGCAGGGTCTCCTGGGGTGCCGCGCGCGCCTTCGCGAGAGCAGCAAGCAGCTGCTCCGCGGAGCCAGCGCCGCCGACGACCACCTTAAACCAGGCCTGCGGGTTCGCCCTCTTCAGCGCCGCGCCCTGCGCCTTGTCGGTCGCCACCACGACGGCCGTCAGCGGGAAGGCGTCCAGCAGGGCCCCGCGCTGCGTGAAGCGCTGCACGTGCTGCCGCACGGAGACCAGCAGAGCGCCAGCGCCCTCTCCAGCTGCGGCGACGAAGCGCGGCTGCGCCTTGAAGGGCCCGGCGTTGAACACGGCGCGCACCTGGTGCAGCAGGTCCTTCGCGCACAGCACGTGCTGCGGGCTGTCGGGGCAGTCTGCCGCGGACGCGCTGTCCGGCGGCGCGCTGGGCGGACTGCAGGGAACCGGCAGCAGCGGCGCCAGCGGGGCGAGGATGCTGCAGAAGGACCAGAGCTCCCCCCAGCCGCGCGACGTCAGGCCCACGCAGCCCGCAGCGTCCATCTCGCCGAGGTCCAGCAGCTCGTCGAGCACGCCCTCCAGGCCCGCCTGCAGCTGGCGGTCCAGCCCAGCGAAGTCCAGCCGCCGGCCCGCCCGCGCGAAGCGCCCGGCCGCCGCGAGCAGGGGCGTCAGCACGGCCCCGTCCAACAGCAGCCCCAGCGACCGGGAGCCCGCCCAGGCTCGGCGCGCGCCCCACGCCACCAGGCACGCGCCCAGCTGGTCGGAGGGCGACCTGCCCCGGATCATGGCCGAGTGCACGCTCCTGAGAGCGCTAGCGACCAGAGACCCTGGCCTCAGCACCTCGGTCAGCTCGCAGAACCCCTCGCCGGCGGCGCAGCAAGTGCCCGCCAGCGCATCGACGGACACGAAGCCGAGCACGTCGCAGGCCCGCAGCGCGGCCGAGAGCAGCCCGGCCTCGACCTCGGCGCCCCGCCCAAGCTCCTCCACCGCCCGCGGGCAGCCACAGGCGAGGCCGCCCGCGAGCTTGTCCGTGAACTCGAGCAGTAGCGGCACGGTCGCGCAGCCTTGCACGAGCCCGAGCGCCACAGCCGGCAGGCTGCAGCGGCGGCCCAGGGCTGGCCACCATGCGGCCTCGCCGATGAGCGCAGCCTCGCCGAGCGCGGAGGGCGGCGGCGAGGAGGCGAGGTCCTGGGGCGCGCCGGGCTTGAGGTCGCCCGCCGCCCAGGGCTTGTGGCCGCGGTGCGGGCCGTGACCGCACGCGGGCGACGGGTGCAAGTGGGTCAGCAGGGCGGGCGAGTGCCCGCCGCGCTGCTCCTCGGGGGGGGCCGCCCCGTCGCTGCGCAACGAGCCGGATGGCAGTGCCGCGGCGGTCATGGGGTCCGTCAGCGACGGAGTGTTGGTGCGGGTGCGGCTGCGGGCGGTGGTTGAAGAAAACTCGATCCAAAAAGGCTTGAGCCAAAAACGGCTGCGAGGACGGCGAAGGGGTGTGTGTGTGTGGGGCGCCCGCCGCGGTCGAATCCACAGAAGACTGAAAGCTGGTGTCCTGGCACCCTGTCGAAGGAAAAGGATCAGAACTTGGATATCTCGTGGCTCGCGTGTGCTCGAGGCAGGAAGGGGAACCGAGGCTTGGGAACCTTCTGGATTTGGGTTGAGCCCCCAGAAGCGTCCATGGCATGAGCTTCCGAAGACTACAAGGGACCTCGGGGCAAAAAACCTCATGAAAAAAAACAAATTATCCCAGTGCGACCCTACCTAGCAGTTGGAGCCCCTAGGAAAGCAGCATTAGCAGTAACAGTAAAGTTAAGCTAAAGTTAAGCTAAAGCTAAGCTAAAGATAAGCTAAAGCTAAGCTAAAGCTAAGCTGAGCCTAAGATGAAGCTAGGCTAAAGCTAAGCTGAAGCTAAGCTAAAGCTAAGCTAAAGCTAAGCTGAAGCTAAGCTAAAGCTAAGCTAAAGCTAAGCTAAAGCTAAAGCTAAGCTAAAGCTAAGCTAAAGCTAAGCTAAAGCTAAGCTAAAGCTAAAGCTAAGAAGCTAAGCTAAGGCTAAGCTAAAGCTAAGCTAAAGCTAAGCTAAAGCTAAGCTGAAGCTAAGCTAAAGCTGAAGCTAAGCTAAAGCTAAGCTAAAGCTAAGCTAATGCTAAGCTAAAGCTAAGCTAAAGCTAAGCTAACACTAAGCTAAAGCTAAGAAGCTGAAGCTAAGCTAAAGCTAATCTAAAGCTAAGCTAAAGCTAAGCTAACACTAAACTGAAGCTAAGCTAAAGCTAGGCTAAAGCTAAGCTAAGGCTAAGCTAACACTAAGCTAAAGCTAAGCTAAAGCTCAGCGGAAGCTAAGCTAAGGCTAAGCTAAAGCTAAAGCTAAAGCTAAAGCTAAAGCTAAGCTGAAGCTAAAGCTAAAGCTAAAGCTAAGCTGAAGTTAAGCGAAAGCTAAGATAAAGCTAAGCTAAGGCTAAGCTAAAGCTAAGCTGAAGCTAAGCTAAAGCTAAGCTAAAGCTAAGCTAAGGCTAAGCTAAAGCTAAGCTGCAGCTAAGCTAAAGCTAAGCTAAAGCTAAGCTAAAGCTAAGCTAAAGCTAAGCTAAAGCTAAGCTAAAGCTAAGGTAAAGCTAAGTTAAAGCTAAGCTAAAGCTAAGCTAAAGCTAAGCTAAAGCTAAGCTACATCTAAGCTAAAGCTAAGCTAAAGCTAAGCTGAAGCTAAGCTAAAGCTAAGCTAAAGCTAAGCTAAAGCTAAGCTAAAGCTAAGCTAACACTCAGCTGAAGCTAAGCGGAAGCTAAGCTAAGGCTAAGCTAAAGCTAAGCTGAAGCTAAGCTAAAGCTGAGCTAAAGCTAAGCTAAAGCTAAGCTAAAGCTAAGCTAAAGCTAAAGCTAAAGCTAAAGCTAAAGCTAAGCTAAAGCTAAAGCTAAAGCTAAGGCTAAAGCTCCCAGGGGACTGGGGGAACCGCGGGGCGGGGACCGGGGGAACCGCCCGGGGCGCTTTCCACTGCCCGGCCCCTTTAAGCTAAGAGAGTAAGAACCCTCTAGGCAGAGCCTAGGTAGGGAATTACTCGAAGCGGAAATCACCATATGTGCATATCATACTCCTGTCACGTCTCGCTGAGGAACTTTGTCTATGAGCATCTGGGTGTGAGAGCGAGCGAGTCTGCGTAGAAGACATGCGCGGCGACGACGACGACGACGACGACGACGACGACGACAGCGACGACTTCAGTGACGCCCACATCTTCTGGACATCTTTCAGGAGAGACGAAGGAAGCACAAGTGGAAGAGCGAAGGGGACGTCCTGTTGCCGTTCCCCCCCGCGGCAGCTCAGGCAAGCGCGCATGGGGGTGCTACTCCCGGTCTCTGGCGTACTACTCGCGGCGCCTGCTGGAAATTGGGGTGTCCAAGTGCCACGCCTGCTATACCGGGATAACCAGTTGCGTGTGAGACTTAGCGCGAGTGAACATGAGCGTGTGTGATCTGAGTGTGAGCGAGTCGGAGTGGAAGTGGATCCGGGTATGACTGAGCCTGAGTGTAAGCGATTCCGGATACAGTCAGTCTGAATACGAATGAGTCTGAGTGCGAGCGAGTCTAAATGCGAGTAGGTCTGAGCGTGAGTGAGCCTGGGTCTGGGAGGGTCTGAGTTTGAGTGTGATGAGTACAATCTGACTATGAGCGAGCATTGGTGCAAAGTAGTCTGAATATGAGTGAGTCTGAAGGTGGGTGAATCTGAGTGTGAGTGAGTCTGAGTGTGAGTTGGTCTGCGTGCGAGTAAACAATGAATTTGTGTAAGTCTGGGTGACTCTGGGTGAGTCTGAGTGGGAGAACCGCATGCTAGAGCAGCCACTGAGGCCTTCGGTGGAGCTCCCTATGAGGCCACGAAACGCTGCACTGTGTGTGCCGAAACACAAACATGCGGATGGCATAGGCAGGGATGGGAGGAGGGAGGACCAGGAGGAGGAGGAGGCGGGAGGTGAGTGACGCGGGGCACTGTCTCTTCGAAACGAAGACCCAACACCACGAGACCGTTGGGAAGAAGTCCGGAGGCGCGGGCAGAAACAAGCAAACCGCTTGATGCCTCCCCCAGTCTGGGCACGAATCCTGGAGTGTCCCCCACTCTTGCGGCTCCTCCTTGGGGGGCCCAAATACAACGCCTGCTATGCGAGGAGCCTAGGGGGCAGAAACAGACAAACCGCCTGAGACATCCCTCCAATCTGAGCGCGGCTCCCCCGTGGGGTGCCCAAATCCCACGCCTGCTTCACCGCGGTGAACATTGGACTACCACAAGAGAAAAGTTGAGAGGCAGGAACTGAGATCGTCTTCGTCATCCTGCTCCTCCTCCTCCTCATCATCATCATCATCAACAACACCATTAGCCGCACCACCATTACCATCACCACAGACTCCACCAGCATCATAACCATCATCAGCATCATCATCAGCAGCATCATCACCACCATCATCATCACCACCACCATCATCAGCATCACCATAATCAGCATCAGCATCAGCATCATCATCAGCAACATCATCAGCAGCACCTTCATCTGCATCGAAATCATCGTCATCAGCATCATCATCACCAGCATCATCAATGTGATGACCATCACCATCGTCATCATCATCGTCATCATGTTCATCAGCATAAGCATCGTCATCATCAGCATCATCATCAGCAGCATCAGCGTCAGCATCATCTGCATCATCAGCACCATCATCATTAGCTGCATAATCAGCATCATCATCAGCATCAGCATTATAGCATCATCGTCGTCATCATCCTCAGAAGCATCATCAGCAGCAACAGCATGAGCATCATCATCAGCAGCAGCATCGTAAGCATCGTGGTACTAATCATATGCATCATCAGCAAAGGCATCATCACCATCAGCATCATCATCGTCATTATCATCATAATCCGCATCATCAGCATCAGCATCATCATCATCAGCATCGTCATCCTCAACAGCACCATCATCAGCATCAGCATCATCAGCGGCAGCAGCAGCACCCTCAGCATCATCATCATCATGATCGCCGTCACCGTCATCATATCATCATCGCCATCATCAAGTCCACCACCACCACCACCACCACCATCATCATCATCATCATCATCATCATCATCATCATCATCATCATCATCATCATCATCATCGTCATCATCATCATCATCGTCATCGTCATCGTCATCATCATCAGAATCCTCCTCCTCCTCATCCACCACAGTTCTCCTCTTTGTTCCCCATTCTCTTCTCCCCCTCGTCCCCATCCCAGCTGTTGCGCTACATACTCGCGTCCTCCTCCTCCTCTTCTTCAGCCTCCTCCTCCTCCTCCTCCTCCTCCTCCTCCTCCTCCTCCTCCTCCTCCTCCTCCTCGCTCCTCGCCCGCCCCTCCTCCCTCCAGGGGGGAACGTACCTTTGTCAAGGAGCGGAGGCAGCGGCGACGACAACGGCGGACGACGACGGCGGCGGCGACGCCGAGGCGCACGGCGCGCGGCACCCATCGACCGCCCCCACAGCCCCACGGAGGTCACGCGCCCCGACCTCCTCAGGTGGCGGATCGCCACGGCGAGGTCCTTCTCCTCGGGAGGGCTGGGCGGCGCACACAAGGGGGGCGGAGGGAGGCGGGGGGGCTTCTTAGGAGACTTCTTCTCAGAAGGCGCCGGCCTTGCATCTATACATGAGGCCCGCGCCTTCTAAGAAGCAGGGGTGCTTCTGAGAAGCCCTCCCCCCTCCCCCACCCCCCTCTGCGCGTGGCTGAAGCGCAGGCGAGAGATGAGCGAGACGAACGAAGAGACTGCACGACCAGGCGGGCCGCGGCCACTGCCTGGGAAGGCTGCTCCAGATCTTCCAGGCCTGCGGCCCACCCGCGGCCAGGATCCACAAGGGCCCGCTCGTCCTCAGCGAGAAGGCGGTGTGATCCCCCAAGGCCGAAACCTGAGGACCACTCGAGAGTCTGAGAGGGGAGCTGAGGCCTTTGGGCTCCTGCGGAGGCTGACGTGGCCTACTCCCGATTTGTTATTATGTTGATATACTCTATAATTCAACCTACAAAACGAAAATCCCACCAGCCCTCTGGGCGTCGGTGGTTTAGAGCGTTTCCTCTTCCACCCCTCCTTCTTCCCCTTCGGGGAGGGGTTTACCCCTCCCCCTACCCCCTCCCCACTGACCTGGACAGGGGGTTCCGCGGCGCGTTGGAGCGCCCAAGATCGACCCCTGGGAGGGCTAAAATTCGACACCCCTCACGAGGATCGTGGCTCCTGAGGGGGGGCTGTAATTAGGGAACCCCCCTTCGTTGATCGATCTCCTCCAAGATGGCTCCGAGGCCCCCCAAGAGGCCCCCAGGAGGCCCCCAAGAGACCCCCAAGAGGCCCCAAGAGACCCCCCAGAGGCACCCAAGAA